AGGGTATCTTATGGTCTACGGTCACGAGCATGGCATTTTCCAAATCTTGTTTGAGTCCCTCGAAGGCGCTTCTGATAGATGGTGGTAAGGGGAATGTTTTGTTCTGAACTAGTTGATTGATTTTGTCCGAAAACGACGGTATCCACTGCGAGTAGTAAGCGAAGAGACCAATCACACGGCGTAAGGACTTGCTGTCCGCAGGTGGGGGAATTTCACGCAGGGATTTCATTCGATCTTGGTCGAGTTTGATAAGGCCCTGGGATATGTAATAACCGAGGAGCTCGATTTCTTTCCGAGCGGTTACAGTTTTTGATTCATTCCAAGTGATGCCGTATTTGGCGACAGCTTTCAGGAAGCTTTCGAGATTTCGATCGTGGTCCTCCGGGATCGAACCACATACGGTAACGTTGTCTATGTATGCGAACGTATTCTTCAGACCTTCTGCTTTTAAAATTTTGTCTACGGTGCGTTGAAAACAAGCGACACCGTTAGTAACCCCGAACGGTATTCGGCAGAACTGAAAGAGATTGCCACANCGTGAGATTTCTTCCACCATGGTATCGATGCGGGGTAGTGGGTAAGCATCTAGTTGAGTGAAGCCATTGATCGTCTGGCTATAATCAACAACCATTCGTTTCTTGTGGTTGGCGTTCTTGGTATCAAGGACTTGAGCCACTGATAGGACGGGTTCCGGGTCGGCGACTGAATTGGTCGGAGGAAGCGGATTAGTCGACGCACATGGAACGCTCTCTGATTCGTACGACCGCGACTGCTTTTGGGCAATTTCAAGGAACCTGGATACATCGTATACCGACTGAAAGTTCAGAGATGGTTGTTCCAGCAGTCTCCTACAAATGACATGAGGCTGGAGTCCCGTTGTGAATGCGTCGCGCATAACATCGTCGCAGTATTCTTCCGCTGAGACGGCCCGAAAATTAGTCTTTAGCGATCGTTTTGATGTTTTGAACAGCGTCTTGTTTACAAGTAGAAACTAGGTAACGCGCAAACACAACGTTTTTGGGGCGAACGTACAGCGATTTGAGCAGAGAGATAGCGTTTTCAAATGTCTTACAATCTGAGATGTGTTCGTAGACAGAGGGTGCCAAAAATTGATGAGTAGGTTCAGATTATCTGTGTCATCAGAATGTATTCGCTTTAGAAAGGCGTTGAAGGTGCGTATCCAGTAGGTCCATTGTTTGAAGGCATCGGGGGCATTCAGATCGACATTAAATTTGTCGGGTCGAAGGTAACGATCCGTTTGTTAGTTGAGTTAATTGTAACGTGTTACGAATCAAACAAACGGGAGCGGAATGGAGAAGACTCGGAGTCGGAATTATACGCTTCACTCAACTAATAAATCCGGTACATGAACTGTAATAAAAAAAGAGGTTTATGTAGTATGCAATAGAAAAGAGTGTATAGACAAGAGAACCAGGATATGATACCCTGGAACAGCTTCGAAGGCCACATACAACTTATTGGAATGAATATTGTATTATATTGAGTAGTGATAGTACCTCTCATTACATGAAAAAGTTGATGGTGGTCCAGTTCATATCCACATTAGACTAGATGAATACCGTTTGAACTGGATGAAGAAGACGTATTTTACAAGTTCACGTTAATCAGCGACAGTGCTCAGTTCCAGATAACCTGTCTATCGCTTCTCTTTCATGCTTCCTTTTTCCAGGTACGGCTGTCGTCGTTTCTTACGTGACGGTTTTCGAACTGCACGTGAAGACTCCAATCGGCTCTATTACGAGCCCTGGGAGTTACGTATGTTCGAAGGTATCGAATGTGAATGGCCTATGTTCCTGGCTTGGCTTGTGATCGATGCAAGTTTTCGTGAGGATTATGATGGTGCTGATCGCTATATGCAAATGCTTCAAGATGTCGTGGTGCGGGAGGTACGGGTAACTTTTATAACCTATCTGACACCTTGGAGTTCACGGATAACTATAACGGGTTCTGAGGAGCAATTCGTTTCATATAATACCTAGTTTGTAGATTTCTGACCAAGTTGCCACCATTCTGGTCGATTTGATCATTGTTATCGGTGTTGGGAAACAGTTGAATAGCAGCTCCAATCAGTTTTGTATTGCAGAGTTCAGGACTCACATACCGTTGTATGATGAACAGGAGAGCGGGGCCAACTCCGGTGTAACGAGGGCATATCGGTCACACTGGGTAAGAGGCGTTCTGTTTTGGGACTGTAAGTGGTGAGCCATATAAAGCACTAGTAGGACAATCGTAGTACCTAACCGGCTGACAGCAGAGCTATCACTGGTTTATTCATGGCTTTTTTAAAAGAATATATGCTTATATATGTACATATAATCTTACGCATAATTTTATTCAACTGAAAATTGGTGTTCGATGCAAACACATACCTGATTTTCGTAAGCTGTACTCAGCTAACCTTTCACATTTGGTTCGTGTCATCGTATCTATGGTATTGGTCAGTCTTCTGTGAGAAGCTAAAG